AGAGTTTTGACATGACACCTAAGAAAATTTCATGACACGGATGGGAGGTTCGACATGACACTTATGAGAGTTTCGACATGACACTTATGAGAGTTTCGACATGAACACTTATGAGAGTTTACATGAGTTTTCGACGACATGAGAGTTTCATGACACATGAGTTTCGACATGACACAAGGAAAGTTTCGACATGACACACAAAGGAAAGTTTCGACATGACACCAAGGAAAGTTTCGACGTGAGATCAAGGAAAGTTTCGACATGACACGGATGAGAGTTTCGACATGACACCAAGGAAAGTTTCGACATGACATGAAGGTAAGTTTTGACATGACACTTATGAGAGTTTCGACATGACACAAGGGAGTGTCTCGACATGACATGAGAATTTTCGACATGAAACAAGGAGCGTCTCGACATGAAATAAAGTGAAGTTTCGACATAACACTAAAGACAGTTTCGACATGACACAAGAAAGTTTCAGCATGACACCGAGAAAGGTTTTGGCATGACACACAGGAACATTTCGACATGACACAAACGAGAAATTCGCCTTGACACCAAAGAGATTTTTCAATTATGACGGAAAGGAATATTTTGACAAGCCACAAAAGAAAGATTCGACATGACACGGACGAGAGTTTCAACATGATGCCAAGGAATTTTGACATCAAAGAAAATCTCGAAATGACACATAGGGAATTTTAACATGCACCAAAAAGAGCTTCGATAAGACACAAAGAAAATTTCGACGTGACACAAAGGAAAGGTTTAGACATGACAAAAAGGAAATTTAGATATGCGACAGAAAGAAAGTTCGACAACACACAAGACTCCAAACAACCCACACACAGGGAGGAAAAAGATTCCGACACGACCCCAGCCAAAGAGCAGTTCCGACAACCACACAAAGATCTCCAACCAGACACCAGGGAGAGACGCGGAATCCACCACACCCAAGGAGGAGATTCCGGACACCACACCAAGCATCCCCTCAGCACTCACACCAGGGAGAAGTTTCCGACCACAAGAGGAGTTCCACACCATACCAAGATCCCCAACACCACACCAGTTCCGACACCACACCAAGAGGAGTTACACCGAGTTCCGACACACCACACAGTAGATCACCCAAACAGGAGAGTTCCCGAACACCACACTAAGAGAGTGCCCAACACCACACCCAGAAGAGTTCGACACCACACCAAAGATCCCCAACACCCACACCAGAAGGAGTTCCGAACCGACACCAGACACCAAAACGACCCCCACCCCCCCCAACACCACACCCAGGAGAGTTCCGACACCACACCAAGAGGAGTCCGACCACCACACCCCAAGATCCCAAACACCACCCCAGGGAGACACCCACTAAGTCCGACACCACACCCAAGCAGGAGTTCCGACACCACACCAAGATCCCACCACACCACAGTAGAAGGAGTTCCGACACCACACCAAGATCCCCAACACCCACCCAGGGAGAGTTCCGACCACCACACCAAGAGGATTCCGACACCACACCAAGATCCCCAACACCACACCAGGAGAGTCCGACACCACACCAAGAGGAGTTCCGACACACACCGACACCACACCAGGAGAGTTCCGACACCACACCAACGAGGAGTTCCGACACCACACCAAGATCCCCACACCACACCCAGGGAGAGTTCGCGACACCACACCCAGGAAGAAAGTTCCGACACCACACCAAGATCCCCCAAATCACACACCGAGGGAGATATTCCGAACACCACACCACCGAAGGAGTTTCCGACAGCCACACCAAGATCCCCAACACCAGCACCAGGGAGAGTTCCGACACCACACCACAGAGGAGTTCCGACACAACCAAGATCCCCAACACCCACACCCAGGCGAGAGTTCTGACACCAGAAGAAGTTCCCGCACACCACACCAAGATCCCCAACACACACCAAGAGTTCCGCACACACACCAACCAGGAGTTCCGACACCACACCTCCCAACACCCACACCCAGGAGACGCGACACCACACAGGCAGAGTTCCGACACCACACAAAGATCCCCAACACACACACCAAGAGGAGTTCCGAACCACACCAATGAGGGGAGTTACCCAAACACCACACCAGGGACAGCCACACCAAGAGGGAGTTCCGAATCCCCAACACCACACCCAGCGGACGACGCGACACCACACCAAAGTTCAAGACCCCAACCCAACACCACACCCAGGGGAACCACTACCAAAGACGTTTCCGACACCACACACCAGGAACACCAAGATCCGACACCACACCCAAGATCCCGCAACACCACACCAGGACACCACACAAGAGAGTTCCGACACCACCAAGCCATCCCAAACACCACAAAAACACACCAAGAGTTCCCCAACACCACACCCAGAGGAGTTCCGACACCACACCAAGACCCCGAGTTCCAGGGGGAGAGTTCCGAACCACACCAGAGGGAGAGTTTCGACACCACACCAAAGAGCGGAGACGACCACACCAAGAGTGTCCGCACCCACACACCACACCACACCACGGAGATTCATTCGACGACACACACCAAGAGGAGTTCCGACACCACACCAAGATCCCCACACCACCACCAGGAGAGCTTCCACCCAACACACCACCACACAAGAGAGTTCCCACAACCACACCCAGGAGATCCCAACACACACCCAGGAGGGAGAGTTCCGACACCACACCAGAAGGGGGGGGGGGGGGGGCCCAACACCACACCGGGGAGCAGGGGCCCGACACCACACCCGGGGGGGGGGGAGGGGGGTCAGGGAGACGACACCACACCGGGGGGCCGGGGGGGGGGGGGGGACGGGGGGGCACAAAACCAGGAGGAACACCACACCAAGATGTTCCGACACCACACCAAGAGGTTCCGTACACACACCACCCACACACCACACCAAGAGAGTCGACCACCACACCAAGAAGTTCGACCACCACACACCCAGGGACCACAACCAGGGAAGAGTTCCAGGACACCACACAAAGAAGAGTTCCGACCACTACACATCCCCCAAAACACCACACCCAGAGGAAGTTCCGCACACCACACACCAAGATCCCCCAAACACCACAGCAGGGGGAGTTCCGACACCAGGGAGACCAAGATCCCAAAAACACCACACCAGAAACACCAACACCCAGGGAGACGCGACACCACACCAGGAAGAGTTCCGACACCACACCAAGATCCCCAACACCACACCAGGGAGAGTTCCGACACCACACCAAGCAAGAGTTCCGGCACACCACACCAAAGATTCGACCACACCCAGAAGAGGACAGACCGGAGAGTTCCGCACCACACAATATCTCCAACACTACACCAGGGAGACGCGCACCACACCCAGGGAGTCCGACACCACACCTTATTCGCGAGAGGACCATGAACCCTCCGCTCCTATCAGTCTCGACAGCTCGACAAGTCCCTAAAGAGAGTGAGTCCGGACTATTCACAGCTGAGAAGATTTTGTACCAAACGTTTTGTTCCATTTCCTCGCTTTCTTGGTTCCACGTGAGCAGCTCTGCTTTGCCTCTTTTATCTGGTTTTATCTTCGTTGTCTAGCTGTTCTCGTTACTTTTTGTTTTGGTATGTTTATTTGTTATTTTTTGTTTTCTTCCTTTTTTGGTTTTCTTTCTTTTTGTCTTTGTTTCTTTTTGTGTCTGGAGATTTTCTTGCTTTCTTATATTTTCTCTCTGTTTCTTTCTTTCTTTCTTCTCTCTCTCTCTCTCTCTCTCTCTCTCTCTCTCTCTCTCTCTCTCTCTCTCTCTCTCTCTCTCTCTCTCTCTCTCTCTCTCTCTCTCTCTCTCTCTCTCTCTCTCTCTTCTCTCTCTCTCTCTCTTCTCTCTCTCTCTCTCTCTCTCTCTCTCTCTCTCTCCCTCCCTCCCTCTCTCTCTCTCTCTCTCTCTTTCTCTTTCTTCTTCCCTCCATTCTACTTCATCCCTCTTTTGTCATCTCCCTGTCTCTATATCCATTTCTATCAGAAATTTCTTGAATTATTCAAATAATAATGATAATGATAATTATGATAATGCAGATTATTATAACATTAATGATGATAATAATGATGAATATAGTAATGATAACAATAATAATGATAATGATGATGACAATGATAACAGTAATAGTACTAACAACTTGACAATAACAACAGTTATGATATCAATAATGAGGATGATTATGACAATAATGATAATGATGATAACAACAATAATATGATAATGATGATAACAACACAATAATAATGATGATGATAATGATAGTGATGATAACAACAATAATAATGATCATGAGATTAATAACGTAATAATGAGAACGATTATACTGATAATATTGATAATAATGATAATAAGAGTAATGACATTGTTATACTGTAATAATAATGTTTTTAGTAGCTTTATTCTTATCATTATTATTATCAATATTGTTATTATTATCATTAGTATCATTATCATCATTATCTATATTATTATTACTAGTTATTAATATTGTCATTAGGATTAGTATCATCATTATTTTTACCATTATCATTATCACCATCATTGTTATCGTTATCATTATCATATAACTATCATCATCATCATCACCATTATTATTATTATGTTAGTTTGTTTGTTAGTTATGATCATTTTTACCTCCACCAAGGAGGTGATGTTAGTTTGTTTGTTAGTTAGTTAGCTCGATAACTCAAAAAGTTATGAACCGGTTTTTTACCAGAAGTGTGTCTTATCACAACTTAGATGCCATTGTAGTGATCCTACTCAGAATAACTAAAAAAAGAATTCAGATTATTTATATTTTTTTTTTTTTCCAAAGGTGTGTCTTATCACAAAGATGCAATTGTGGTGATCCTCCTCAGTATAACTTAAAAGGTTATGAACAGATTTTTATGATTTTTTACTAGCGATGTGTCTTAGTCAAACTTGGATGCCATTTAAGTTTTGATGGTGATCCTAATCCTTATATGGATCGAGGATAGTTTGGCAAGATAACTCAAAACCTTATGACCATGAAATGATCCGGATCCAAAATTTCTATAAAGGATTCATAAGGATTGCGAGATAGTGAAACAGACGTCAACAGTGTACTTGAGAAAGAGGTGATGTTAACGTAATTCTTTAAATGTGAATATTTCATCTCATCAGGGACCCACCCTATTGCCTTGGCGGAGGTATGCGCTCTCTGGGTGCTTCTAGTTATGGTAATAGTAATACCACTGCTAATGATGTTGTTGTTGCTATCATCATCCATATCAATATCATTATCGTCATTTTTCATCATTATCACCAAAGCAGAATAAAAAATGCTCTCTGCTTCCCCTCTTCGATCGCACATTCCCCTCGCCTCCCCTTCTCTTCCCTTTTCTCCCCTTCTTTCCCCCTCCGAATCACAATTTCCTCTTCCTCTTCCTCTGTGCTTCGACCCGTTATCCTCACTTCCAAGCCTATCATCCTCCCTCATCTCCCCCTTTTTATCTTCCTTCTCTTCCTCCTTCTCCTCTTTCTTTCCTTCTTTTGATTTGTTTTTCTTTCTGTAAGAAATTTTCTGTAATTTTCTTATTTTCTTCTGTTCTTCTTATTTTTCATTTTCTTTTTCTTCGTTGTTATTTATATCCCTTTCTTCTGTTTTTTTCCTTCTTCCATTTTCTTTAACTAGCTTTCAAACTTTTCTTCTTCTTTTCATATTCTCTTCTGGTTGTTTGTCTTCTTATTTTCATTAGTATTATTTGTTCTTTCTTCTTCATCATCTTCATTCCCCCCCCTGCTATCTCCCCTTCCCATCACTCCTCTCCTCCTTCCCCTTTCTCCCTCCTTCCTTCCCTTCCTCTCCCTCCCCTCCTCCCTCCCTCCCCCCTCCCACTCTTCCTTCCCCTCCCACTCCCACTCCTCCTTCCCCTGGCCGCTCCCACTCCTCTCCCTTCCCCCCTTTCCCTTCCCACCCACTCCCACTCTTCCTTCCCCTCCCTCCTCCCACTCTTCCTTCCCCTCCCCCCTCCACTCCTCCTTCCCCTCCCCCTCCCCTTTCCCTTTCCTTCCACCTCCTCCTTCCCTTTCCCTCCACCTCCCACTCCTCCTTCCCTCCTCCCTTTCCCTTACCCACCCCTTCCTTCCCTCCTCTCCCCCTCCCCTCCCACTCTTCCCCTCCTCCCCCCTCCCCTCTCTCCCCGCGCCCCTCCCACTCCTTCCTTCCCCTCGCCCCTCCCACTCTTTCCTCCCTCCCCCCTCCCACTTCCCTCCCATTCCACTCTACCTTCCCCCTCCCCCCTCACTCTTCCTCCCTCGCCCCTCCCCCTTTTCCCTCCCCTCACATCCCATTTCCACTCTACCTTCCCCTCGCCCCTCCCCCTCCCCCCCCCCCCCCTCCCACTCTTCTTCCCCTCGCCCCCTTCTTCCTTTCCTCCCCTTTCCCTCTCCATCCCCCCCCTCTCGCTTCTCTCTCCCCATCCTTCCCTCCCTCCCTTCCCCCTTTCCCTTTCCCTCCCCCCTCCACTCTCCTTCCCCCTCTTTCCCCCTCCCTCCCCCTTTCCCTCCCTCCCCCCTCCCCTCCTCCTTCCCCTCTTTCCTCCCTCCCTCCCACTCTTCCTTCCCTCCACCTCCCACTCCTCCTTCCCCCTCCCCCTCCCACTCCCCCTTCCCTCCACTCCTCCTCAGCACAATCAATCGCCCCTTCACACCGCATTCTCCCCTCGCCCTCCGGCTCGTCTCACGCGCAAAGCGAAAGGAACGCAACGCTGATGGATTTTTCCCTGACCCCAAGACTTACTCAGCGGGGGAGAGGGCTGGGTTTGGTCTGTTCGGTGGTGAGGTTCGTCGGATGGTGGGGGTTGGCTTGAAGGGGGCGGGGGTGAGGTTGAAGGGGGGTGGGTGAGGTTGAAGGGGGGGTGGCGTTAAGATGAGAGGGGGGTGAAATTAATGTGGGCTGTAGGAAGATTAGTTTCTTGGGGGATTAATAATAAATATATAATATATATATATATATATATAATATATATATATATTAATATATATATATTATATATATATATATTATATATATATATATATATATATATATATATATATATATATATATATATTATATATATATATATATATATATTATATATATATATATATATATATATAATATATATATATATATATATTATTATGACATGTATGTAATATAGAGAGAGATTGATGAATAGATATATTCATAGGCAGATACTCATATGGATAGATACAAATTGATAATGGAGACAGAAAGCGGAAAAGACAGACTGGCAGATAGACATAGCTATAGATATAGAAACATTGATTGGTAGATCATTATATAACTGGATAGATAAACAAATAGATAGATAGAGAGATAAGTAGATATAAACAGACAGATAGACACACTCACAAACAGGTAGACAGATATATAGCTGAAAAAACAACAACATCCATCTCTGTTTTTTTCTATCTATTCATTTCCACGTTAGAATTTCAGCAGACAAGTTCGAAAATTGATCGCCAGGTACTTACAAGAACTTTGTAGGAATGTGACTATCTTGCCCCCTCGCATTATAACGGGGATCTGGGTTTCAAAAGGACCATTCGACGAAGAGGAGAGGAAGAGGAAGTATAGGAAAAAAATAAACAAAGAATGTGCTCTTTATCACGAGGGCGATGGTGTGAATGTTCAAGGTTTCGTGTTTATATAACTCTCGTGTTTATTGTGGGTGTTTTGTAATTCGATTTATATGTTTATGTACGTGTGTTGTGTGTGTGTTTTTATCTGGCTGGTTGTTTATCACTTCTTATCTCTCTATTTCGCCTCTCTTTCTACTGTCTGTCTGTCTCTCTCTCGTCTCTCTCTTCTCTTCCTCTCTCTCTCTCTCTCTCTCTCTCTCTCTCTCTCTCTCTCTCTCTCTCTCTCTCTCTCTCTCTCTCTCCTCTCTCCTTAGTTTTCTATATCTATATTTATATATATTAATATATTAGATATATATATTATATATATATATTATATAGTATATATATATAATATATATATATATATATATATATATATATATATATATATAATATATATATATATATATATATATATATATATATATATATATATATATATGCACACACACCACCACTATAGATTAATATACAATACACACACACACACACACACACAACACACACACCACACACACACACACACACAACACCACCCACCACACACACACACACACATATAATATATTATATATATATATATATAATATATATATATATATATATATATATATATATATATAATTATAAATAACATATAATATATAATATATTATATATATTATATATATATTATATATATATATATAATATATATTTTTATATAAAGATCCCTAGGTCACAAAAATGACGTAATATTCATTGAGGTATAAAGCAAGGGCAACGGGAAGCCAAACAGCTGACCACGCACTCTGTCACTCCATCAATAAGACACACGACACCGAGATAAACTTGGAACGCCATTTCCTCAATTATTCGTGGGATAATTCCGTCTTCAGGGAGACATTGAGAGAGGGAGAGTGGGAGAGGGGAGAGGGGGAGAGAGGGAGAGAAGGGAGAAGGGAGAGAGGGAAGGGGAGGGGAGAGAGGAGAGAGGGAGAGGGGGAGAGGGAGAGAGGAGAGAGGGAGAGGGGAGAGAGGGAGAGAGGGAGAGGGGAGAGAGGGAGAAGAGGGAGAGAAAGGAGAGGGAGAGAGGGAGGGAAGAGGGAAGGGGGAGAGAGGGAGAGAAGTGAGAAGGAAGGGGAGAGAGGGAGAGAGGGGAAAGAGGGAGAGGGAGAGAGGAGAGGGGAGAGGGGAGAGAGGGAAGAGGGGAGAGAGGGAGAGGGAGAAAAAAAAGGAGAGAGAGGGAGAGGGGGAGAGGGAAAGGGAGAGGGGAGGTAAGGAAGGAAGAGAGAAAAGGAGAAAAAAGAAAGGGGGAGGGTGAGGGAGATGAGGATAGGGGAGATGGGGGAGAAGAAAGGGAAGAGAAGGGAGTGGGGAGAGAGATAATGGGAGAAGAGACAAGGAGGAAGGGATAGAGGAGAAAGGATACAGAGAAGAGGAGAAGAGACAGGGGAGTAAGTAGAGGATAGAGAGGCGCGAGAATAGGGAATAAACGTGAAGAATAAACGGGAAAATGGAGGAGACGGGAGTAGAAAGAAGAGAGAGGAGAACAGGGGATAGAGAATATATACAATGGAATATATAAGAAGGAAGGCAAGAAAAAAGTAAGAAGAAAAACGAAGAAAAGGAAAATGATAAAAATAAAACAAAAGAATTGTGTTGGGAGCAAGAGGAAAAAGTAGACGAGAAAAGAGTTGGAAAGTAAAGAAAGAAGAGACGCGAGAGCGGAGAGAAGAGAAGGGAAGGAGAGAGAACAGGCTGGCCCTTCCATCCTGCAGGTCACATAAACACAGGAACTTTGTCCAGCATTCTCCGGGAAGACAAGATCATTTACTGAGATGGGAAGAGTATTTGAGCTTCTTGTTTATGGCTGCTGACCCCGTTTTCTTTGCCTGGGGACTTGAGGGGGAGACTTTTTTTTTTTTTTTTTTTTTTTTTTTTTTTTGTAAGACAGCTGGACACGTGTGATAAGGGAAAGTGAAAGCGATTTTTTTTTGGTCTTGTTTTACACTTTTTGTTTTTGTTGGGGGGGAACTTTGGCTAATTTTCTTGTGGTTTTCTTGTTTGTCTTTGATTTTTTATCTTTGTGCTTCCTCTCTGATTTTTAAATGCAGCACGAACAAACACGTATATATATATATATATATATATATATATATATATATATATATATATATATATATATATATATATATATATATATATATATATTAAAACTCTCCTGATTCTTAACAATATATACAAATACATTACCGGCACATTGTATCACACACACACACACACACAGACACGTACACACACACTCACACACACACACACACACACACACACACACACACAC